AGAGCAGAACTCATGTATTTCTCATCCCCAAACAGACAACTTATCCTTTACCTGCCTTCTGAGTCTCTTCTATTATTCTCATGATGTGTCCGCAATGTTCATCTCTATCTAACATGAGACCTTTCTGTCCTCCTCAAATACTTTTTATCTTCTATAAGCTTCAGATCCCCCTATACCACCATTATTAGAAGAAACCCTTTCTTGCCTCCCAGGCCTGTGCTCCTTTGTGTTGTTCATTAGGGACCACCTCCAGGAAACCTTAGCTGAATAACCCAGACCATGTTAGTCACATCCCTCCTCTTGTCACAGCTACTGACTTCCCTCCTACCCCACGTTCTTGCCCCACCTCCACTGTAGCTGCTGTAATAGTCCAAGAAAAAAAAAAAAAAAGTAAAAGCCTGAAATAAGGAGGGGGCATGGACAGGTCAGATACACTTGCTTTTTAAAGGTTTCAGCAACTGCTAGCTATATGTTTGCAGCATGGTCGTGTAGACAGAATCCTGGAGTTGGAGTCAGAAGAAATGGAATTTAGTTCTAGATCTGCTGCTTACTTCTTCCACGACCATTTGTAGACTCAGTTTCCCAAATCCATCATTCTAAGGCCTACCAAATAGATAATAGCACTGATTGAATAGTCTCTAGTATGGAGCCACGTGCACTTTGGGGAGAGACAAAGACATAAATAACATAGGCTTCCTTTTGTCATTTGCTCACATCTTGGCTGTGGAAGCAGGAAACAAACATAAGACAATGTCACATAAGGACTGGACAAAGCTTCCATGCCAAGCCAGTAAGAGGGTGTTGGGCAGGAGGAGACCAGATAAGCAGAATTGAACTGTGAACAAGACTAGAGGTATGTTTTAGTTGAACTTGGAAAAAGAGGAAAGATTGATGGATTATTAAGCATTTTAAACAGAATAAGCCAGCTATGAAATTGAAGTGTAAGGATAAATAAACAGGAGGGCCAGTGATGGTCAACAGGAGCACACAAGATGCAAGGTGGACAAGGCTACTCAGGGAAGAGGGTAAACCTGTTTGGAATTGGAGAAGCACATTCACCTAGGATAAGGGCGACAACATGTATAGGAGGATATTCTTTCATTAAGTCAAGAAGTGTTTAGTAAGTACCTATATGGACACCATGGACATACTGGCAGAAAATATAAAAAAACAGCCTTGTCATGATGAGGCTTCCATGCTGTTCATACCAAAGCTAAGTGCCTGAGAAAATGAACTGATTACATTAGACTTGGAGGTGAAGTTTCTAATAAGAAGAGGGCTTTTATTCTGATACAGATAACAAAAACTGATGGGAGAGATTTTATAGAATTTACATCTGAGGAGATATGTCTCAGTTTGGATCATATATAGTGATATATTATGCAACTGCGAGAGAGGAGCAAGTTTCTCCAGGAAGGGAGTCATTCATACACTCATTTAAAAAAGCACTTATCAAGCACCAACTATGTTCAATAGAGTCTGTGAATACAGAAATGAATAAGTCACAGTACTTATACTCAAAACACTAGCATCTCAGTGAATGGACAGACACATGCAAAGCTAGTACAGATTGTACCCTCATTGTGTTACTTGATCACAATCACACAGTGCATTAGGGATCCTTATTGAAACAACTGAGAAAATTTGCCTGGAGCAGTGTGAGAAGGTGTCACAAGCAGGTGGCAGGATCTTGGGCAGTTATGACAGGGGGCAGAGGAAAGTATTCCTGATACATAGTATGAGCTACAAGCATGCACTTTCAGGAAATGACAGATAATACAGTGTGGTTGAACCTAAGGTAAGTATTTAGGGATGGAAGAAGTGAGGCCAACAATTTAGGCGGGAGGAAATTTGCAAGCATGTTGAGTGATTATTATTTTTCTTGTAGCAATGGGATCCTGTAAGTGATTTTCAGCAAAGAAATAAAATATGTGTTCTGTTACATTGTAGTGGATAGGTTGAACAGGGGTAGAAAACTAAGCAGGTCTTTGCAGTGACACAGGCAAGACACAATGAGATGTGAATTAGAGGAGGCACAAACGGCATAGAGAGGAGACAGCGCAGGGGCAGAAAGAGTTCCATGAATGCTAGCATCTGGCAGGCAGCTATGTGGCTGGAGTATAATGAAGGGAGAAGTGACACAGGCAAGACACAATGAGATGTGAATTAGAGGAGGCACAAACGGCATAGAGAGGAGAAGAGCAGTACGACAGACAGCGCAGGGGCAGAAAGAGTTCCATGAATGCTAGCATCTGGCAGGCAGCTATGTGGCTGGAGTATAATGAAGGGAGAAATGGAAGGAGGTGAGGCTAGAAGTGAGTAGTGACCAGACCATGCAGGGGCTTATAAACCAGGGTTAGGATGTGGATTCCATCTTAAGAACAATGGTAATCCATGAAGGTTTTAACCAAGGCCTAGCATGATACAATTTGCCTTCTTAAATGGTCTTGGTAAGATAAAGGTACGGTTACAACCTTCAGTTATAGGTGAGGAAGCTAAAACCTTAAAAATATCAGTGAGGAATGTTGGTTTCTGTTGGTAGACTGATGGCACAATCATTGCTTTAGCCCAAGTCTATGAGTCCTTAAACTTTTCTTTATACCATGGTAATGAGTTTTAGTTATATTTCTGTAACTTGAAAATGCTGGATTTGAACTGCTTACGAAGTGACAAGGTAAAGGAAGAAGAGTATAGTGATTTAAGACATCATGTTACCAAACCCAGATATGGCTGCCCACCCCCTCAAGGAGGAAAGACAACAACTCGGAAGTCAAATTGTTGGTGTTATAGGGAGGCAGGGTATTCAGCTGAAGGAAATGGTAGGCTATCCCATCTCAAAGCCTCAGATTTACTGAGGATTTTTAAAAGAGGGGGTTGAGGGAATGGAGTGTGGGAAGGAAAAAGCAGGAGAGAAGGGGACGTGAACTATGAGAGCTCGGTGTAAGGAGTCAGATGCAAGGTCTCACCAAGGCCTCATCTGGTTTCTGTTCTCTTTGCTGTTATCTCAGAGCCCTGTAGACTTTGATTTGCTCCAGAGTGGAATCAGCTTCTTTGAAAAGTTT